TCCTTTTTCCTTTTTCCTTTTTCCTTTTTGCTAAGCTCAATACCAAGCTTAGCAAGGCCAGGCTAATCATTTCTAGGAGTTTAGTGTCGTAACTAATGAAAATGCTTTTTTTTTTTTTTTTTTGAAGAAATTGGTTTATTTAAGTGCTACACCAGTCAATGACTCTGTTGCCTATTTATAGTATTAAATTAAATTCTGCTTGCTTCTGCCAGTGTCTTCATGTCTGCTTTATAAGGGGTCTCCTCAAAAAAACCCGTAATGTATAAACTTGAAAAATTCATGTTTCATTTTTATTTTATAGATTTTACGGTGGTGATTTTCAGTTTGCTTAGAATTATGGAGCTGCTGTTGAGGCTGGATTAGATCACATGTCTTCAACAATTTTGTGTCTTGAATCCCACCAACGACTCTGCTGAAGAATCTGGATCCCACCATATAGAAGCATAGGATATAGAAGCATAGGATATAAATCTAAAAATCATGCTTATATTTTTATTTATTTATTAAATTTGTATGCTGCCCATCTCCCTCAGTGGGCCTTGATCCAAAAAACTGAGTTATAGACTAGGCTTATTTCAACCTAAATAAACTTATTTAATTAAAATGGAGGAGGGAGCAAAAGATTTATGGCAACTCGAGAGAGCCAAGAGATTTTCTTGTAAGTAAAAGTGAGAATAGAAGTTGGGACAATGGGCCACACGCACTTCAGTGCTGAGGACACCACATTGCAAACACCTATCTTAGACTCTGTCATGGTTTGGCTGATGTGGGTCTTCCGGGCTGTGTGGCCGTGGTCTGGAAGTTTTGGCTCCTAACGTTTCGCCAGCATCTGTGACCGGCATCTTCAGAGGACAGGAGCACAGACAGGAGCGGTTCTCTCTGTCATGGTTTATTTGGTTTTTGCTTAGGCGGTTGTGTAAATCTAATCATTTTGGTTTGTAAGCCACATTTTATGTTTAGATGATGATGATGATTTTCTCCTTTTCAGTCAACTTTCCCCCTTTCTCTCTGGCCAATGAACTCATCCAATAATTGCTTATTCACTAGACAAGCCATGGCTCAGGGCAATTTGTGAACCTTGTAGGAGGCCTTTATGCCTTATTCCCAGTTCACATCGACCCTCCTGGTCTTCTCTGATATCACTTTACTGGGTTCTCCATTCCTGCCCACACTCCTGGTTTTATTCCATTAATATATTGACTTCTGCCGGTGAAGACAATCTGGCTGAAATAAAAATAGCCCTAGATAAGCTTTCTTTGAGTATAAAATTCTCAATCTGCACAAGGCAAAGGCCACCGGGATTGGAGCAAACGGATGGGAGCTTTTGCGCTCACTTTTTTCCCCCCCTTTTTCTCTGATGGTCAGAGCTGCCGGCTGTGTGAAAAAAGCACATTAAGCCACAGTCAGGTTTTCCGGCAAATGACTCAAGCTGAGAAATGCCTTTTCTCTCATGCAGTAAAGTTTAGAAATCCATTAGTCCTGTAACACGATGCAGAAAATAAAGATAAGAAAGGAACATGGAACTGCCCAGAGATGTAAGTAGGGAAGAACTGCATTGCATCTTTTAAGCTTGATTTTTCATTCTTTCTTTCAAATTTATTTCTCTGCTTCCCTCAGCACCCCACCCCGCTCTGCTCCCACCGAGACTAAGCTTCTCTGGGAGTTTGCCCCATTGGAATAATGGAACTTGCTTCTGAGTGAATGAGCAGAGATCAGCATAGCTGAACGCTGATTTGGCTGATCCCAAAAAGCTGAGAAGCAGGATTAGTTCTTGGATAGGAGAAAGGCCGTAGCCCAGATTGGAAATGTGAAAAAAATTCTCAGAAGACAAGCAATGGCAAACTCACATCTGCAAATCCATGAAGTCACAGGACTGCACCTAGATATAAAGGGGATTTTATCATACCTTAAATATTCATTGCAAGCCTTCCTTAGCTGGGGATAGAACTAGACCAGTCACAGATAGATTTATTGAAATCGGTGAGACGTACATATCTTAAATCACAGTATTTCTATTTACTCTCAAATTATGTGATAGTGGTGGCGGGGGGTTCCTTGTGTATGTTTGTTCTTTCATCTATTAACATTTTGAATGTTCTATTGATTTGTGTTTACGTATTTAAAAAAAATCTGGAGAGCTTTTAATAGAGGTTTGAATATCACTCATCACAGAATAATTGTTCTTGCATTTTTAGAAACAAAAACTTCTGGATGAACTTGGAGAGAACTGCCTTCCATATCTGACGCCAAAAGATGATGGTTTCTACCAACTGGTAATGCTCAAAAGATCAATGTGACATGTCTTGAGAAACCTTAACAACGTATTTGTCATTTTTTTCTTTTTACATCTCATTCTTGAATGCTTCCTCTTGCTACCTAGAGAGAACAGGAGGAAGGCTCCAAACTCAAACCAAGTAAGCAAGTATCCCCAGGTGATTAAAGGAGAAAAATGAAAGGTGATTTGGTTTTAATGCTTGGTTTAATGTAAAGCCAACATCGGTGCCTTTGTTTCATTTTCCCTTTGTTTGCAAAATAAATTCACTAATGTGGTTCCCACTACCTGAAGTCTGTGGCTTCTGGATCTACACCTTTCTTGCTGTCCCCTCTGCAAATACAATAGCTGGTCTATGGGTCTAGATTATGTCTTAATTATGTAGGTGAGTTTGATGGGAAGGGGACATGATTCAGGAGAGTAAGACTTGGTCTGGATAAATGTCTCTGTCTCACACTCCTAGTAAGGCAAGAAAGCTGAGCCAAAGAAGAATATGAATAGGCATAAATTCATACTGGTAGAAAGAAGGAGGGGTTATTGAAGAAATGGAAAAGTGTGTGAAGTTTTTCTTCAGCAACACTTTGGTCAAATGTGAAACACATGGAAAAATGTGGGTAAGTTCTATCCAATTAAGTTGGAACATACTGAATGAAAGACATAAAAATGAACCTTTTTCTTAGTTTGAACAGCTACAGCAGGAGTTCCTACATTATAGCTATGTCAACTTTTCTTATGTTGACATGTGGTCGAAAGATGCATTTTTAATAGCCCCCACCTTTCCCCCCACTGTTTCAGGAAGGAAAGAGCATTCTCCTTCTGCCTTTTTCTTTCTAGAGATTGATGGAAGAGTGTTATTTTTTTACAGCATTTGAAAATTTATCACTTAACAGCTGTCAAGAAAAGTTGTGTAATTCAGATTTAGACATTATGCTTTACCTACAAAATATCTTAGGGTTTTTGAGATAGGATTGAAAAGACCCCAGACTGAAATTGTGGAAGATTTCTACCAGTTTGGCATTCTTAAGGCTTTCAGAAATTCATTGCCTAATGCAGTGTTTCTCAGCCTTAGCAACTTTAAGATATGTGGACTTCAAATCCCAGAATTCTTAAGAATGCCAAATTTGTTGAGTATTTGGGGAGTTATTCTCTTAATGTACCTAGAGGGTATCAGGTTGGGAGTGTCAGTGGTTCTGTGGTTCTGGTATTATTAATATTGATAGGTTACCCTATAATATACTCTTTGAATCCTCTTTGTATGATCTTTATATTCTCTCTGTACTTGATATACTCTCTATATGTTATATACTCTCTATAATATACTCTTAAATTCTCTTCTGTTGGACTCTTTAAATTTGACAACAGTAAAATGATAAGGAAAGTACCGAGAAGACTACAAAGAGAATTATTTAAGAAATCATTGCTGTGATCACACAACAAAAAACCAAAGCCGAACAACATATTATGGTTTTGTATGGCAGATGAATCCAGGTAGTTGTGGCTTATCCATTGGTTAAGCCAATGTGTGAATCAGTTTTGAAACTTTTCTCTGAGTGGAAAAAACAAGCAATGGGGCTGGCATTTGGAGTGATGAAATAGTAGTTTGTCCAGTCCCTAGTATAGCATCCAGGCGAGACACCAAAAATGGAATACTGATAATATCAGTATCAATGTAGCATATAACAATTTAATATTATGGAACAGTCTTTTCCAAGCTAGCCCCCTCCAGATATGCTAAGACTGTGATACCCAGAATTCTTAATCATCTTTCTAGGAGTTGGTCTCAATGTAAGTAGAGGTCACCAGGTTAGACATCCAAACTGGGAAGGCTGCCACTTAGAAATTTCTAAATTTCTTGATCCAGATGCTATTACCTCCCAATGGAGAACTGGAATACTGTCTTGTTTTGCCAAAGACGACTTGGCAGAGTTTGTGATTGTTGTTGTCACTTGAGTGACAAGGTCATTTTGACTTAAAAAACAAACAAACAAACAGAGGCGGTGTGTGATTTGTAGACAGCTAAAATATATATAGCCTGACCTCAGGTTGCTCTGGGTGCGTTAAATTTTGTTCTGGGATAATGGGCATGTTAAAAAATTAAGCCTGAAAGCTGTTGTGTGCTTTTTTTTGGCAGTATCCATTTAGGGCGGCTTTGATCTGTGCAAAAAATGGGATGACCTTTAATATTAGCTGTCAGAGATACAGCAGAAGTGACATGACTTTTGTTCCTTCAATCAGTAAAAATGTCCAATACCAGCTTTGTGCTGTGTTTTCTTTCTCTTTTTCTTGCTCCCTTTTTCTCTCAACCTTTCTTTGTCTTCTGATCTCTTAATGTTTTCCTTATGTAGGACAAAGCAGGGTGCCTGGCTAGAGAATGAAAGAAGTCTGATTGGTATTCTCAGATGATGTGTTAGAAACGTGTTTCCATTTCCTCTTTCCTAAAAAAAATATATTTGAGATCACAATATTTTTTTAAAAAATCAGACTTCTTTTAAAGCACAGAAACCAGGCACACAGTGTTTAAGTTATATTAATAGGATGCTATTAATATAACAAGTCCAAAGGTGATGTACCTATTATTAAAAAGGAAAATCTCTTTTATATAGACGCATCCATGCAGCGTCCTTTGCCACTGTCTTCTTTCAATTTCCTAGTCTAGTCTACAGCTCTAGCATTTCCTAGTTGCCTCCAAAATGCAAGAACTCACCAGGTCCAACTTCTCCTAGCTTTTGAAGATCAGTCACGTTTGGTTAACGACTGCCAGCTGCTGTAATTATCTCTTCTTAGGCTGGCATTAAAAATATGTAGAACAAGTTAGCTCCTATCTTTAACAGGGAGAGTGAGATGTTGTGACCTCTGGACAAGTGGGCCATGTTTCCTCTTAGATGTTCTGTTACGCTGTACTGTTGTTTTTGGCACTCATCTGATTCTTTAGGAGAGATTTGGGCAACTACCCATGGTCAGGGGAGGGGGTGTGATTGTGCTGTTATCTGTGAAACTCTGCTAGCAACAAGAGGCACTATTCTGCAGATAGCCAAATGCGGGACCTTGCTTGTGCAGCTGGGCCTGACGGGGTAGAGAGTCTTGCTGCTGGCATACTGTTTTCCCTGCTAGGGCTGCTCAACCTAATTACTGGTATGGGATGGAGCTCCCCAAACTGATAATATGAGGGGATTTCAACCTGCCTTCCCAGGATGAGAAATCTGTAGTGGCTGTTGCCACCGTAGACCGAACTCAACTTATTAAGGGCCCAACACATATAAGAAGTCACACACTAGATCTGCTTTTTGTCTTGGGTTAGAAGCAGTGTGGCTTGAAAATTTGAGGGAGGGGGACATTGAGCTTAGCACCCTGTCATGGACAGATTACTCTCTGGTTGCTACAGAATTTCACAGTGTGATCCCCCTCTGCAGTGAGGAAGCCCCTAGTAGAACAGTCTGCCCAAGGCAACTAATGGATCCATGGGTTTTCAGAGGGCACTTGAGGAGTTTCCAAAGGATCAGGTGGGTAGTTCAGCTGAGACTTCTATTTTTTGTACAACTCACTCCATCATGAGCATCATGGATGTATCAGAATGATTTATCTTTTCCTTTTCTTTTTAGTGGAAGGCAAAATATTCCAAACTTATCCTCAGGAACACCAAGACGATCCCTAAAGACATTCATGAAGAAGTCCAAAAAGCCTTTTTCACTCTACGAAAGCATGTTTGTTTCTTCCAAGATCTTGTAAGGATCAAAGGGAAGGATTTTGTTACCCCCATATCTCGTATATTAATTGGAAACCCGGGTTATACTTACAAATATTTGAACACAAGGTTATTTACAGTCCCTTGGCCTATGGAAGGATATGAAATAAATTATTCACATCCTGAAATATCCCTGGCTTGTAAAGCACTAATCAGGCTTAATGACTACTTGCAGAGAGAATCCTTGCTGGTTTTGCAAGAGCAGGATTTGGCCGAGACAACAGGAATGCAAGATTCTCCCGTCGGGGACGGGAATCAAGATTACGCTACTAACATTACAGTGATGGAAGCTGTTTTGCAAGATCAAAGCCCTTCTCGAGTCCCAAAGAATGACTCTACCGATCTGAAAGAGAGAACATCTTACAATCTGACATTATTAAATTATATGGATCCACAGAAAATGCCGTCCTTGAAACTAGAGCCATATTTTGGCATGGGGAGAATGGCTGTGAGCTGGCACCATGATGAAAATCTATTGGAAAGGTCAACAGTGGCTGTCTACAGTTACAGCTGTGAAGGTGGGTCATGCGGTTGAGTGGGAATCAAGTAATGAAGTAAATCTTGTTTGAAGGTGGAGGGGACAACTTGGTTTTCAGGTTGGTGTGCCCAGAAAGACCCTGCTTCAAAAGAATATGTGGGACCATGAGAAAAAAAATGGACAGAGACAAGACAAAAACTAAACTTGATCTCATTAAGGTTTTATTTATGTACTTATTCTAGAATACATTATGTACAGTGCATTTGGAAAATATTCAGACCCCCTTCACTTTTTTCAATTTTGTTATGTTGCAGCCTGATACTACAATTGTTGTCTGTAAATTTATTAAAAAGGAAAAACTGAAATATCACATTGGCATAAGATTAAAAAGGAAAAACTGAAATATCACATTGGCATAAGATTAAAAAGGAAAAACTGAAATATCACATTGGCATAAGCCCTTTACTCAGTACTTTGTTGAAGCACCTTTGGCAGCAATTACAGCCTCGAGTCTTTTTCGGTATGATGCAACAAGCTGGACTGGGGGATTTTCTGCCATTCTT